CTAGGAGGCTTAGAAGTGGTGAGTTTCCCCTGGGGAGGCAGTATGGTTAATATGTAAGGAAGTGAAGACTAGATCTGTAGATGAGTAAGTTGAAGGACAGTCTTGTCTTTAGTTTGTACCGCTGGATCTAATAAATGGTTTATTTTGCCTAAAGAAGTTATTTCACATCATAACTTCCTCTCTCGAATCGTGGAGATCTTTCCATACCTTTACTTCCCAGTTTGTTTCCATCCTCGCAATTTCCTAGTTTCAACTGGAGATCTAAAATGAAAATTACAATCACACACCGTCTTTCAGATGAGACAGTTAAGCCATTGGTCCTGTGTGCAGTATAGCCCATATGTTAAAAAACACTATACACTTTGGAAAAGAGTATCAAATTTTCTGCCTGAATCACCGCCAGAAAAACCATGCTGAAAATAAATCTTTTAAATTATTTTTTTTCTGCGTTTCACACCAAAAAAATAAAAATCTCGCTGGGTGCGTGACTTCTACCATGCATCGCGGGACTTTTCACAGAATGTACTGTATGCTCAGTGGACTTTCCAGTAAGCCCCGCCCCTTGGATTTTGTTCTAAGTTCCCACAAAAGGACAGTGTTATTACATACGCAACACGTGTGCTTGTTAGACACGCACGTATAGCTGGCCATGTTCTAATTGGCCAGTTTTCAAGTTTGACACTATGAAAAGGTCCATTAGACTGACCAATGGCCAATGTTCCATTGACTGACCATGCATTAGCAAAAGCATATGATCTGTCGTTTAGTCATTGTCCAGGTAATGGTCCCGGTAAAACCTACTATGTATTAAATCCAAGTGCGGACAGCAGTGCGATTTAACCAAGGTAAAAGTTACTCTCCGTCTTGGTCAAAATTAATCCAGTACAAATAAGTCTTTAGTCATAATGAGATGAACATTTAGAGTCTTATTGAATCAATAAAATGTTAAAGCACTTTAAGCCATTGTGATGTGTCATGTGTTTTGTGGTTTGGCCTGATTAGAGCTGCCCTCCTATAGGATCATGGGTAATTAAACCTACTCTTTCATCCCACCACTTCCCCATATCAAACGATAGTCTAGATTTATTCTTGACTTTAGAAAAAACTTGGATTACAGTGGCGTATCAGTAAGGAAACAGGCTTTGTTATGCATATTTCCTGGTTTGAAACATGGCAATGCCAATCTTTGCTTGGGTAATTTGGTAATCATATATTACCTAATCCTTTTGGTAGGTTGTACCTCAGTTGGTCCCATGTTCATAATGGTACTTTGCATGAAAAAGAACTCAGTACAGTTGTATATTTGCAAATAAGACCAATTCACTTTCATCTAGTGTGTGTACTTTCTTACTGTCATGAAAACTGTAAAAATATGGAATGTTGTATAAATGTTGGCAGTTGTATAAATGGCTATTGGCAGTTTGACTTGCATGCCTAAATAAGTCAAAGCTTTTTTAACTTTTTGTCATATGTGTTAAATTTGTAATAAATAATTTAATCATTTATTTAAAGCAAATCAGATGATCTACTAATATCACTCAATTTCCCTAAATCACTTTTACTCCCACACCTACTGTGCGAAATTCAGTATTTTCTATCTAAAATCATATTTTTTATTTAATTACCAGACAAATTTGATTTTATTTTTATTTATTTGATCAACTTAATAACATCACAAAACCGGAAAAACAGAATACAAAGAAACAAAACTTGGAAAACAAGTCATCAATGTTGATATCTGGGATAACCCTTTAAATCCCACTGAAGGATTTATTTCCACAGGTGACACCAAAAAATGGTACTGAAAAAAACCACATGCAAGAAATAGTGAAGGCGAAAACCGAGATGTTATGCAATTAAAATTGTCATTTATAGTTAGATAATTAGTTTTCTTCTACTTCCAGACAAGCTTTTGTTTCTACACTATTGTTCTCCCAGTCTCCTCTTCCAGTCTTATATCTTGTCTTAACTTTAAGTCATTCCCCACCCCCACACACACAATCTAGTCTCATTCTATTCCCATATTCCTCTCAGAGACCATTTTTTTTCCCAGTACTCGTCCCAATCCAGGTTTCCTTCCATCCTTAGTCTCTATTTTGCCACTCCTTTCCAGATCTTTTCCTATATTATAAACTGGTCTTATTTTCTCTCCATACTTATTCTACTTTTAAACTTTAGCAATAAAACACTAACTAAATAGGCCCAATTTTCATGTATTACAGGTATGTCAATTTAATTTTAATGCAGTTAATTTGTATTTGTTATTCACTCAATCATTATTTTTATTATTTATAGGTTTCCTAGTCTACATTTAATCCAATTTTATTGCCTCGGTCATCGTTGCCATTTATTTCTATGGTAACAGGTGGGCCTAACTAGGAATTGACAGTGCCACTAATTATGAACTTGGACAAATAATCACTATAAATTAGAATGGAATGAATCAAAGCTTATCATCACCAAGCAAATTCAACAAACAAGTTAATTGTATAAGGGCAATAGCTAGGCCAGCTGTTTGGATCGCTGGGCCCTATCAGTGGTTGTCATCAAGGCTGGAAATGATGAAGGAAACACTGGTTTGGTTCATGCTAAGAGCATCAAAGGCTGCGAAGAATCTCTAGGCCTAGTGTTGCCTTCGCCTTTGAAATCAGGTGGTCTACCTTTACTTGACACTCTGGCTTTAGGTGTACTCTTTCTTAAGGAATATTATCTAGGCCTTGATCTTACTGAGAGATTTAGTTGATTTATGTCAATAGATACTCTGTTTACTAGTTAAACATTTGTTTTAAAAGAAAAATAAAATAAAATTATATATTTTAGGACATAATTATAACTTGTTAAAAGATTTATGAGAAATTTCTTAATCTGATGGATTCCAATACTGTTTAATTTTAGGTTTCCTGTAAATTCTGTACTTTAAATTGGATCAGAGTGTTCCAACCACAACCCTGCCCATTTATTATAAAGAATTATGTACTATTGCTGAAAACTGTTATCGCAAAGTATCATATTTCCTCTTTTTATTTCAAGTACCAAATAGTTTTTAAATAAATTTATCCTTACAGGGAAATTCTGAGTTTGATCAATTTTGCAAAGTACAGTACAGTATATACAGTAGCATCTACCGGTGAGATTTAAGTTAAGCCTATTCTCAGCTTTAACTAGTGTACTTGTCAGGTTTAGGCTAAGTTATCTTCATTATCTATCATCAGATATTCGTAGCAATATTCATTCTCTTTCCTTACAATCCTTTAAAAATCTCATTAATGTACCCATTTGTTTTTTCTTTTGTTTCTTGTATTTATATAATTTATATACATTTTGATGCATTTTTCTTTTAATTTTGTTTTGTAATTTAATGTAATTTAAGATCATACCCTGGATTTTAGGGAAGAACAGTGTAACAATACTGACTCAATATCCAGAATTAAGAAAGATTTCTATCTATGTAACCCCTAATAAAGAGACAGTCCTCTTAATAGGGTGTTCCTTAATAGGGGTGTTTCCTGAATAGGGGTTAACTGTAGTGTTAAAAGAATTTTCCTTGTTTTGTGACAGAAAAATTGTCTGGTGTTCCCCTAATAGGGGTGTCACAAAAGAGGGGTTCTACTATAGTTATAATAACAAGTAGATACTGTAAAGAATAAAGTAGGCCAACATAATATTTCTGTAATACAGATAATTTATTGGTGGTGCTTAATATGTGGCCAATCGTTTTGAACTGTTACCTCATTGTAAGATTGACTCTTTATATTACATACGCATAATGTTAAAACTTTGCATATGTTGATCAGACAAGTTAATGTCAAGTATTGGAGGAGAGCCATTGGTCCCAAGCGTCATTGTTATGGCACTCATCCAAGTCATGTTACGTGCTAGTTTGTTCATTGTTATTGTCAGTGACCATTCTTCACTGATCCTAGATGAGCTAGGCCGTTCCCCATGGTAATAGAATAAATATCCTGTAGAGCCTAGCCCAATTTTTTTTTTCTTTATAGAAAATGAAATCCAAAATATTTTCTCAATTCAACATGCTTTTATTTTTTAAGTAGTGTAGGTAGAATATTTTCTATTTCTGGCAGCCTTTGGGTTCATTGGATATAAAGTTCCTGATTCAACATGTTTATTTTTTCATGTTTAAGATCACAAATTAAAGATGAACGCCAAACTGATTTTGGCTGGAGTACAAAATGCCTCTAGTTTTGATGTATAATCATTTATTTCTTTCACCTGTCTGTTCGATTTCCTCATACAAATTCTGTGACACCTGGACACTGTTGCAGGTACAAGATGGCCTACGTGAGTTAACTACCGACCGACTACTGACACGTCATGCATCTCTTATCTCTTTTTTTTTCAGATTCAGCCATAGGTTTTCAAGTTTGAATTATGTACAGTAAAGATTCTGAACAATTATCTGTTTTTCTGTCATTTTAGATAAAATAATAATAGTAATAATAATAATAATAATAGTGAATTTTGAAGAATTTTGTAATGCTATTGCAACATTTAGATCGTAATTTTGAAGTTGCTATTATTTTTTCGCCTTATTTCTCTTTTTTTTTCACATTTGCATTTATCTCTTTTACAGTGTACTTAACTTTGCATTTCATTTTTTCAATTAGTTGCATCCTTTTTCATATTAGTTTTTACTGTCTCTTTCAGTGACCAATCTAGGGGGTGGCGGAATGGGTGTGGGGAGCACGGACCCCACAAAATATTTGCAACCCTATGTTCCCCCACCTACTGTAAAATCACATCTCATATTTCCCTAACCAAACCCTCCCCCTTCCCAATTTCCCATTTTATATTCTCTCTCCCTGCCTATCAGCCACAGTAGGTCAATACTCTTAGATACGTCACTGCTCTATTTAATTCACGTTTGCTCTTCATTTTCTTTCTTCTATTTCAAACCAAGTTTTCCCAACCTGTTATCTTTTATTTAAAGTAAAAACATTTGGTTTTTTTTTTACTAGAATGAATTATGATTTTGATTTCAGGCTATTGGTTTGATTGAATGGCGTAAGTTGAATTCCACCCTGGTTGTTACCAGTTTGTTTTCACATGATACATTAACTCACAATTGGTGCTTTAATTTTGCTTTAAATTTATTTTCAATCATACAGTTTAATATTGCTCATTGGACCGTATATTTAATGGCTCTTACCTGGTTTAATAATCAAAGCGATATTGCTTCACAGACTCATAACACTTCCTTGAAAATGGTTGAAAAAAAGTTGATGTGATGGTTAGTTGGAATATGTAGTTGATTAGAAACATTGTGGACCAACCCGGTGTGACTAATTCAAAAAATCTGAACATGTTTTACCAATTACCAGAAGGTTTATCTCGCCTGGATAGCATTTTACCTGTTGTAGATTCTCATTGATTGCATCATTTCAAGTGCCATCTTCACCACTTTCACATTCTATCACAATTATCACCAACCAGCCAATCATAAGCCAGCTTTGTTGACATAGTTAACCATCACCACACTGGCCAATGGTCATCATTTTTTTTTTTTTTTACTTAAATATTTATGAACAATCATCAAAACAATTATTATTAATTATCAAGATTTAATATTGTCCATACCAATATTCTCTTGGTATCTAAACAATGTTGTACTTTTTTCAAATTATATTTCATTAATAACTTTTTTATCCTCCTCATATCAGTACCCACTATTATTATCATCATAAATTAAATTACTTCTATTTTTAGATGACCTATTTTTACCTACCCTTAACGATAATTTCCGTTGATGGGATATTATTTGACTGCTCGATTTCCAATTACGACACAATTTAATTGGTACAATATGATTTACATTGATAGACACATAAAATTCAGTACTGTATACTCATTACATAAAGCGTTGGTTATATAATTAATGGTTTTGTGTACTAATATTAATAATAATGTGTGGAATGATATTGATTTCTTGATTGTTAATAGTTTTGGTGCACAGGTGTCTGGAATTCTCCAGTTCTGTAACATTTCTTTTTGAAAGCACTCAGGTACACGCTTTATAGGGGGCTATGGCATCCAATTACCTATATTCTGTTGTGTTTTTCTTTTCTTTGTGAAGGTGACTGGCATTTGGTACCAAGGAGTGTTGACATAGTTTTGTTGGACTGACAAGTTTCAAAATCTTAATATATCAATTAGCATTGTACTTGTTACCTCGGTTCTCATGGCTGTGGGGGTGGGAAAAGGGGTGAGGGAGTTTATTAGACTTACAGAGGTCTTAAAGTCTTGATATATCAATTACCAATATACCTGTTACCCATGTGCTTATGGCTGTGGGGTGAGGGACATTGGTTTTACTAACAGGTTCAAAGACTTGATATATCAATTATCACTATACCTGTTATAGTACCTAGATGTTCATTCACAACTGTGGGAGTGGGAAGGGGTGAGGGAGTTTGTTGAAGTTAAGGACTTGATGTATCAATTACCTGTAGCTGTTACCTAAGTGCACATGGCTGTGGGTGTGGGGAAGAAGGGATAAAGAAGTTTGTTGGACTGACATAAGTTACAAAGACTTGATATATCAATTACCACTGCACCTATTACCCTAATGCTGATGGCTGTTTCACTTTTGTTGTTGGTAAAGGCACTTAGCCAAAGGTGTTATTTTATCACAAAAATAGTCGCTGGATTTCCTCCGTTAATTTACATTTCTACATTTGTCAGAATGATGATGCTTCTTTACATAATTTAATTGTCATGATTGATGGATAGAACAGAGAAAAGAATTATCTTACGCAGAAATTGAAATTATATAATTGTGAATGGTCCCTGTCTGATTACCAAGGGCTTCTCATCTTGTAAACACAGACATAGATTCTTTGTTGCTACTATTTAAGAAAGGAACAAGAGGAGGACATGTGAGCTAAATGATTGATTGATTGATTAACTGTAGGATAATTACTAGGCTTTGAGGATTTTTTTTGTCCCTCATTTGATTTAATACAATAATTTTGGTTTTTTTGTTGCTGGAAATTCTTTCATGGGCATTCTTGATATTATTATTATTGGCCTGGGACAGAATTGTCAAAAGAGGACAGTGAATGCCCCTTGGTGTATTGAATGAGACATTGTTTATTGTTGAGCTGTTTAATTGATGACAGAAGGCTGTCTCTCAGAAATTGGTATTTCAACCATACTACTGTTATAGAGTTAATGTAACTATTATAATGTTTTCCTGTCTTGAGTTGTGGTTTTTGAATTCAGATTGTTTTTTTTTGTTTGGTTTATTTTTTAAAAAAATACCGTATTGAATTGTATTTGAAAATTTGTATTTGGGAAAAAACATTTAAATTTTTTTTTTTTCTTTCAGTAATCCCAAGTTCAAGCAACTCACAAGATGAAGAAGAATTACCAATGGAGACAACAGAGGAATCTAGCACGGAATTACCACCAGCAGAACCAACGGAATCCTGAATCAACCACACCAAAATCCTCGCGGTAGAGCAAAGAGATTCTTTAATGTGGTTTGCAAGAATGGACACAACAGCATACAGAACTTTGCAGACACAATCACTGAAACAGTGAAATTAAACCAATGAATAACAAATGAGCAGTTTTGTTGCGTATATTAACATTTCTAAAGCTCTGTCCAGACTATCAAATTATATTTGACAAACACATGTGACACCTAAATATGGTCATGATGACATCACATCATGACCATATATAGGCACATTATGTCTATATATGGGCATACAACAGTTTTTTTGTCTAAGAAAATTGGGTAATTTTGACAGGACTTAATACCTGATTCACACATGACAAAATTAATTTCAAAAAAGTCTAAAAAAAATCAACTGCTCAATGTTACAAGAAAGATATTCTACCAATATCACTGTTACCTTTACATGTTGAATTAAACCTTGCTAATTAATATGCAGGCAATGAAGATACACGCACTGCCACAATAAATGGTAAGCCCCGTGAGCGTGTGGACGGATTCTTGCTAACTATCTCGGGTGTTACTTGCTTCTGTGATGTCTGTTTTCTTATTCGGATAGGATGCATCCTAACCTTGAAATTATACCGATTCACACAGATACAATGTGGTAGAAGGCATGTGTTAACATTTTCTTATATGAATTGCGTATAAGAAAATGTGTCCCATCATTTTAACACATACTGTACTGTTTGGTAATCTGAACATACTTGATTTACTGCCCAACAAAAATACTAAAAGTGCTCTTCACATACATTATTGTAGGTTAAAACCAAGGTATACTATAAATAATTTAACTTCCTGACTCTACAGTAGTCACTACACTCTCCTTAGATGTGAATTTAGTCTGCGAATCGAGGCATTATGGGACGGAATAATATTGCTTTGTAAAGCTGTCGTAAATTTGATATTTAACTCATCAGAAGCCTGATTGTACTCTATGATAAAATATGACATGTTTGTACCCATACTCTTACAAGGTTTGTCCCACTTGTGTTCCTCCAAGTGAAAAATTTAGGCTACAATAGGTTTGAAAAACTCGGAGAGACAGTTTAAGCGATATTAGATCAATGCCAAGGGAGGCGGTAGCTGGAATTGCGACGGAGGAAATCGGTTAAATTGTCTCACAGGGTTGTATATCGGCCTTGGGAATCTCAATTTAATGAATTTTGAGAAGTTTTTCCTATTTTGTTTTTGAAAACTATCACTTTTATTCTCACCTGTTGGCAAGATATAGCTGGCAGATTTCTGTTCAATACACACACAACGGGAAAATTTACATCAGCATTTGTTGTATACCAGTGTAAACTTATATTGAAAAATAGTCCTATGTTAATCATGTATTAAAGTGTGCCCAACGGTCGTCGGCCGACGAGATTTTATTTAGAAAGCAACATCACAAGGCACGCGCAACAGATCGTCTTTAATGACAATCCGTTTAGAACTGCCATCGACAAACAGCAGGTGGCATCGCTGCGTCTGACGCCCACAGCAACCCGAGCTGTATTCATCGGCCCACGGTTGTACGACATAAAATTTTATTGTTAAAAATCCACCAAATATTTATTAATTATTTGTTCTGTTTAACATTCATATGTTAATTATGCATTAAAACTTTTTTGGAAAAAATAGTTTTAATATTCTATGGGTTTAATAATTAATTATGTACTTCTGAATATTCATGATATATTAATTATACCTTAGATCTGCATAATTGTGTATTGTTAAAAATCATCTGAAAATGATTTTTTTTTTACTGAACCAATTGTGTGCTTTTAAATATTTATTTTGTATATAATGAATATTTATAAGCAAACTCATGAGAACAGATAGCTTATTTTTCCCATTGCCTAAAATTGTATTTAAAATTTTGGAATATGCCCAAAAAATTAATGGGGATGAAAATGATGAGATTAAAAGTGTTTTTAAAGAACATTATCTCTAAGTCACGTACCAGGATATGTGTATCCAGCATTTTCCATATCATCAAACCAATTTTTCTGGAATGCCTGCTGCCAGATGGTTCGTGTCCATGTCCGTTTTCAGTGGAAAAACAAAATTGATGTGTTTGCCATTTTAGCTGCAAATACTCCCATCTGGCTAATGGCATCTGTATCTGTTTTTAGTATTATTTCATCATTTTTATACTCTTCCGATTTTCTGAAACGGGTAATTGTAAAATTGCTCCGTGATCTGTTTGATATGCTGCCGTTTGTTTTTCTAATATTTATTCCCCCCAACTTCCTGTCCCTATTTGTAAGATATTGTTTTGATTTGCACATCAACAGTCATGCTTGCTCAGACCTCTGTTAAGTATTACATAATTGTTGATGGAGAGCGAGAAGAGATTGCTAAGTGTAATAAATTAAACCCCTTCCTTGCGTGTTTTTTCCACACATGTTTGTACTCTGAATTATATTCAATGTGTTGTCATTTTTAGAAATGAAGTCTTAATTGATTTTGATTGAAATCTGTCCGACAAAATTTTTTTTTTCGGAAATAGATATTTTGTATCATGTGTTGATATATTAGGGTGCTCTATAGTGTAAATAAATAGTGTTGTAGGACGTAGAAAAAAAAAACAGTAGCTCAAAAAGTAACATATTCCCTTGATTAGTAGGACAAAATCTCCAACCAAATGTTGTATATTTTGAAATTTTTGCTAAATCTGACTTTCCTAGCTGCTTTTAAAAGCCAGTAAAAAAATCACTTTTTTTATCAGTTGTTGTCATCATCATCATCATCATCATCACTGTTAATTTTATAATTGTTTGTTATTATTGTAATTGTTATATTTACCAGCATCATTGTTATTATTATTATTATTATTATTATTATTATTATTATTATTATTAATATTATTATACATATTTATGTGTAATGTAGGAATAAAATGTCTAAAAGATTCCAGTGTTCTGTACGATGTATTTCTGGCTATAAGTTTGAAATACTTAATCTCGATTATGTAGGCCTTGGTGCCCACGAAATGAACTCATTGACGTATGATGTAAAAAGTATCGTCTGCTAACCAGGTCATATGATCAATTTTGAGGCTTATGATGAGAGCCGGGTGATTAAGAATGGCTCAATATTATAGTACCTCGTTGTATCTAATGGCAACTTTTTTCATTGTCTTTTTATGTAATAAACATTTTCTGATAACGCCGATGACATTTTCATTTCTTTTCCCTTTGTAATGTGAACTTAAATGTTGAATTCGTGACTGATTTTTACACAGAAAATCACACAGACTAAACATTGGATTTTGATTTTAGATTACGCTCACTTTACTCACACAAGCCTGCAGTCATGCATCGTCTGCTGGCCGTTATCTAACCACCTCAGCTCCCTCTTCACACTCCGTTCATTATTTTAGTTTGAGTCATTAGCATTCTTCAGATTGTAGATGCCGATACTTAATACTTTGCACTTATTCATCTATTATAGAAAAAATAATAAAAAAGGAAAGAAGTGCAATTGAAACTGAGACTGGGAATAACATTAAACTTCACAAGATATGCAGGCCTAATACTAAAAATAAATTCTTTACAATGGAAAAAAAGAAGAATGATAGTGTATATGGTTCTGTACTTTAAATGAGGAAATTAGCATTTAAAAAAAAACTCATCATTGTTATTGTACAGTACGGTATATAATACACCGCATTTTATTGGCCACTTCGTTTTACAAGTTGGTCCAACTGTTTTAAACCCGATGGAGGGAGAGGATCTTTCAAATGTGACACCACCTCTAGACGCTCGGAAAAAGCACTCCCAGACTTTATTTTCGGAGTGTCTATGAGACAACTCTGTCAAATTGGCAAACTGGGGGAAAATATGCTAACATTTTTCTAACAAACGAATATTATCGCATTTAGAATTTCACAGATTTTAAACAAAACAAAATAGGTTGTGTTACGAATATGTGGTCACCTCATATCATGATACTATAATGCTATGCAACTCAAAAAATGCTGCTTAACGAAGCAGTATCGATCTAATATTTCGTTGTTTATTGAAAAGTCGGATATAAAATCGATATGGCAATCATCAACAAATTAAGTGTCTTATTTCATCAACGAATTTTTATTTAAACACCTACTGTATTTGACTTAGCATCGTAAAAAAGTTTAAATAAAAAAAACCAACTACAAATGACATATGCCTAGGCCTACCATGTAGGGAAGAAAATTAATTCTGATAAAATATCTAAACACTGAATTACATTGGTTATTAATAGACGTGGATAATTGTCAGTTCAATATCAACATATCAAATTAATTATTGAATCGATGGCGGCGCCAGAGTGTCTTACAATGTTTATTTTTCTGGAAAAACTGGGGGTGGGGAAAGAAAATGATCTGACACGCTTGCCCTCCCTTAGCGCCACCACTGGTATCGATTTTAAACGGAAATATTCACCTGTTTCAATACAATAAATGTAATGTTTGGTTGAGTTCATGATTAAAATGACTAAAATAGGCCTTAGCTTTTCTGATCAAACAACTACGGCTACGAGTGCTTTAAAATAGGCCTATAACAATGAGATACGGTATAAACTATTATTTTAATTTATATTTAAATTCAAGAATATAAAGATGAGAGCCTTTATTTTCTGAGCAATAATGTCACATGGATCCCCACTTATTTAACGTACACGGTAGTAAATTTCCGGTAGCCCTGGGCAATGAACGTGGGGAGCACACCCCCCTCCCAAAACCTCTTCACGGTCCTTGATGGGGAACGCATCTCACCAAATGTCTTTTTCGTTTCCAAACATTTTCTTTTTCCATTTCCCTTTCATCATCGGTCGTCCAAGGACTCAAGCTAACCTTCGTGCGTACTTGAGTCATACGGTGAATAATAAAATGTTGTTTTCAGTTTTAAAACCGAATCATTTTACATTGAAGTGGAATTTCCTACTGTACAATAATTTAAAATACATTCCTTCGTCAGCTAATGTTAATTAGTTATAAGTATTTAAGTTCACGACCACATATAGCCTTGTTGAGGAGATCCTCATCTTCCATCGTAAGTATACGCTATTGCCAGTCATAATAACAAGTGCCAGGTAACAGGATGGTAACACATGTTATTCATTTATTTTAAGTAAAAAAAAATACATTGGAAGAAAATGTACCATTAGGTCTAATTAAGAAAATAATTCTGAACATTAAAAAGTGTTATAAAAGCATAACACATCATTATATTAATGAACAACAATACAAACCAAAGCCATGTATTTGAAATACTAGGCTGATAACTAAAATCAGTGAATTGGATATAAAAAACATATAAATAAAATCTGATAAGTATGAAGAAAAGTAGGAGTTTCCTGAAAATCGTATCGAAGGTAAGGTTTAGGCCCGCGGCTCTAGAAGTTCACCTGCCCTTTTTGTACGTACGTTGCACTTCCTTGCAGCAAAACTTACGACCATCTTGTTTGTTAGCTAAACCTTTGACGTGAATTCTGTTTATGTTTTTATGTCTTACAATTGAGCTTGCTTTTAAACTAAAGGTACTGAACAGCGTTTGATGTTACGCGTAGTGTAAACATATTCGCGTGGTGTTTACCACGTAAATTTTCACACGCGTTGGTAATGTTTGGACACACATGCGGTTTGGTAGCTACACTGCACTGTAAATGAAAATAATAGGCCTAGTTGAATTATTCCCTAGCGATTTTTACATTAATGATGAAATAATCAAATCGTTTTGAAGGTCAATCAAAAATTGATGGTGTTTTTATGTCAGGAGATTTTATAGGAATGATGATTTTGCCCTACTTCGTACGTTAGGCCAAATAAAAAAAAAATTATTGTGTTGGCCATGCCCGACCGACCCAAATTTTACGAAATTCAGGGTCGGCATTTTAGCGCATGGCATGCGATGCGAATCCAAAATTGTTGTATTATTTGTGTATTTTCTACTTTTTGTAAGCGTAAACACATTTTGGTTTAAAAGTTTCCCTACCGACCTACACATTGTGTGGATTTTCCCAAAACGTGGCCAACACATTTTTTGGCCTTATCGTACTGAATGCCCAGTACATTCTCCCAAATACTTGCGAAAAAAAAGTCTCGCAGGTACTTGTGGGATTCGAACCCACGAACCAGATAAACAGTCTGGTGTCTTAACCACTAGACAGGCACCGAGCTTGCATATTGAGTGTCGAATCCGATCCCCAGCAGCGGGTGCTCTTGTAATACAATTCGATGGTGTTTTTTTGTTTTGTTTTGTTTTACGCCAGGGGATTAATAATGATGTTTTTGCCTTATGGCCTATTCAATTTCATTTTAAGAAGTTAGGTAGGCTACTAGGCATGGTTCCGCTCATATTGTGCCTACGTGGGCTAATGCAAGTCAAGCTAGTTGGCCTCTATTAAAGCAAAAAGAAAACAAATAATAAAAATGTAATTTTAATTTCAATATAAACAACATGTGAATGTTCTTAAATTTGTGGATGTTTTTGTACTGTTCCTGCTGGCTCTAGATTCAAGTGTGTTTTGTTTTCGTCAAAGTGGCGTGGATTATTGCGTGGCATGGTGGATATGGAATCACTTATTAGTGAGACGAATAAACCGGTTGATGACTGATCAAAACTTCCTCAAAGTCAAAATAAATTCTGATTTATAGCAATCATCCACCAAGGCCCAGTCCAATATCAAAGCAAAAAATCATGTAACCTTTGATTGTAAATATTTTTTTTTATATAGAAATAAAAATTGTAATAATAATCAAACAAACATGACACGGCCTGTGTATTATATGGGCGTGTCTGGAAGTGTTGTGATTAATTTCATGCAGTTTATGCTGTTGTTTTGGTTATCATTACTTCATTAGCGCTACTAGGCCTAATAACTGGTCGATACATTCATAAACATTTCACTTTTTTTTATTAATAAAAAAAAAAACATCCACATTACAAGCGGTTACAAGTCGTGGGCCGAAAGGTCAAATTGCATGCAAGCCTTACAATTTCAATATAGTAATTGTTATTGTCGTGATGGAATAATAGACAATAACTGGATTTGCGTCAGGAGAAACATGTATAGGTGTAATTTTGCCCTACCTGACGTGGAAATGTACCGAATACGATAACAATTACTATCAACACTGCAGTACCCGCTGCTTACTTGGACCCAAATTCAACCCTGGCCATCAGGCGCAAGCTCGGTGGTCTAGAGGTATGATGCCAGGCTAGTGATCTGGAGATCGTGGGTTCGAGTCCCACCCGAGAACAACTTGTGATTTTTTTTCGCAATTGTTTTCAGATGTACTGAGTATTCGGTACCGTACATTTCCACGTCAGGTAGGGCAAAATTACACCTATACAATTCCAATATAATTATATAAACACACGTGCACGGGACTATTTTTATTATTATTTTTTTATATACCAGTATGTATTTCAAGTGCGGGAGAATCGAACTCAAATAGGCCTACACCTTCAATTATTTATTGAGTTACTCGAATGCGCCGCTTTCCAATTAGCGTCTCACCAAACGGGTTTTTTTTATTTTTCTTTAATACGCGCCACTACGGTATTGATTATAAAATTAACCGATTTATTATTAATGATAGTTGCAACAATACAGATATATGCTTGTTTACAATACTGAAGTCCTAAAGTCTGCAATTATATGATGAAATTAGGCAGAATTTAATTTCTTTTTATTTTTTTTTTCTGGATGCACTATTAGGTATTTTCTGAGTAAATCCAATAAATATTATAATAGGCCTATTACAACTCTTGGATATATAGTAGTTTTTTGCTCTGGCTTTCCTTCATAATTGTTATATTAATATTTGTCTTCAATTGTTATTTTCTATGTTTTATGGTCGAATAAATTAAACTTTAAATTAAAATATAAGTCTCCTTCCAATTAAAGACAACTACCGGGACCGGGGTTTAGAGGTCTTTAGCAGCTTTGGTCTCTAATTAGAATCCCTCTAATTAAAGATCGGTGCAGGTCTTTAAATAATATATGTTCAGAGGAAATTAAGAAATCTGACGGGTCACAAGTTGGAAGAATCCACATCCGGGAGATCTGTTTAAATGAGTTTTCTTTAGACATTGAATCTAAATATACTTTGCTGTGCATGGTGATAACCATTACGAGTAACATTAACTGCTGGAAGACAATTGATAATACAGTAGTAAAAACAT